CGCACGCACGCACGCACGCACGAAAATGAGGCCCGCGTGATCGAAAAAACAAACCTTAGAAACATGTCATCGAGGCCGAGCGAGGTGACAAAGAGAGTACTGAAAGCAGGAAAACTGTCGCGACACCGGAGAACTGTCAGAATACTGTTCAAGGTGCAGCTAGACTTCAACGGGAATCCAATGCATCTTCCGCTGAGAGGAAATTATGCCGGATCGAAAACAGCCAACCATGGACCTCCGTGGACAGTCGAACCTGACAGCCAGGCCTGCAAGGCTCTGCACAAAGGCGAAATCTTCATCAAATGCGACTCAAGTCTTACTTATGTCTTACTCACTATGTGTCTTTGCTGTTGCAGGTGATGAATGACCACTCGTGCTTCAGTTCAAATCCATTTCCGGATGAACGGCTCGTGGCGCTGAACACGATGTCCAAAGTGCCTCGACTCCGCGATGTCTCCTTCTCAGTGCCACGAAGTCATGCTGCAGTTTTGAGTTTGCCAGGCTGACCATTCTCGTGTCCTTCGCTACGTGCACAAGCACTACACGCAGGCTCTCGAGCTCGGCTCGGTTTTGAAAGTCGTGCTGCTAGTCTGGAACTGCCAGGATGAAGTGCAGACTATCAAGGATCAGGTGCAGAAGGCAGAAGGGCGAAGAATTGGCAGAGCTCGTGACATGGGCGGTGCAGAGGTCATCGAGGCACACACAGAGGACCTTTCTGTTGGCAAGGCTCCGGCTGCCAGAACATCTCAGCATCATCGCTGGCGAGATTCTAGGTGCCGTTGATACAGCTGTTTCCCATACGGCCGTGCAGGCGGATGTTGTGATCTGGGCGAAGCGCATTCACATGGAAACTCGCAAGGCAATAATCAGGCTGTACGTGAGCATAGTGACTTGAAGGCCTGCTGGAGTTGCGAGTCTGCTGTGCTTGTCCCGCCAAGTCAAGCACTCTGATACGATTGGGCTTGGATTTGGCCAACTATGGAACGGAGGCTCTGGACGAGGCCATGCGGTGCATCGATGTTGGACCGCACGTGGTTTGCATACCTTTGCAGATTATAGCGCTGAACGATGCCATGGTTGCATTGGTGGCCCCACTTGGCGGGGTAGGCCGGGGCGGCCCCGGAGAGCGGGCAGCGAAGACCCTGTGCCCAACGATGTGGCAGGTCCCAAGTATGAGACGCTTTCTTGGCATTGGTGGCTCTGGGTGCTAATAGGCCGTCCTCAGCTGTCGACATGGCTGCTGAATGCATCCCCAATTCTTCACTTCCTGCTGTGACACGGCGGTTGGACGTGTCACATACTTGTATGTTTCTATCTCTGTCTCTGTATTTGTGTGAAGCACATTCATGTGCGCATGAACAACCGCAAACGGCGTAGCTGCCTGAAACACTCTGGCTCGACGCGCGACGCCTTCATCTTTTCTGCTAGCATCCTCCTGTGCCTTTCGGCGGTCATGGCTTCCAGTGGCTCCACGGCGGTTGCCCTGCAGCTTGTGGCCGCTTTGGCGGCGACACGGCGCACGGGTATCGTGCCTGTGGTGGGGCTGCTGACGGCGGACCAAGTGGCGGACCTCAACGACGTCACGACGGCCGCCAACTTGGTGCAGGAAGGGATTGTGGACGCGTCGGCGTCGGCGGAGGTTGTTCAGAATTGTGCTCCTTTGGTTTCAAGAGGCGTCGGCGGAGGATCGACGTTACCATCGGGTGCTCAGACCCCGACTCGGGGTCTGAGCACCCGATGGTACCGACTTCGACGACGACTGTGGCGACGCAGCCTTGCGCCGAAGAAGCCACCACCGCCTGTGCCGGTGGAGTCGGCGTCCGACGACGACACGGTGGCCCAGCAGCCACCTTTGAAGGCTGCCCCTCCGGCGTTCCGCCGGCGGGTTGGCGCATTGTTGTCCGACCACGAGGTTGCGAGGGAGGCGGTGCCGATTCCTAGCTCGAGACCATCCCGACGAAGTGCTTCCCGACATCTCCCAAGGCCACGGCGGGACCTTCGACGTCCAGATCCCGCGGGCCGAAGATTGGCGGCGGTCCGCACATCACTTCAAGCGGCGGACGACGTTCCGACCCATCACTTCCTGGGGAGCTTTGTGGATTTGGCCCGGCGCATGGCTGGTGGCGGCGTGGTCCTTTTGTTCAGGCACGACCTCCTGAATGCGTGCAGGCAGTGGCCTGTGCGCTGCCCGGCGCATTGCGGCACTATCCTGGACACGCCGGCGGGCCCCACCTTCTGGTATCACCTCGCGATGATTTTCGGCGCCACGGCATCGGTCTGGAATTTCAACCGCGGCGGGGATGCCCTCCAGCAGCTGCTCCGCGGCCTGCTCCTCCTCCCGACGGGTCACTACGTCGACGATTTCAACGGCCTGGAGTTCGAGGGGTTCCGCATCAAGGCGTCGAAGTCCCAGCCGGCGACGGCCCCAACACATCGTCCAGGGGGTCCTCTTCGAGATCTCCCGGCGCGGGGCACCCTGAGCCCGACGCCGAGAGGGTGCGGCGGATCAAGCTCGCGGGCAGGCTCGCCTTCCTCACGCAGGCGGTCTTCGGCGGGGTCGGCAAGGCGCCCATCAAGACGGTGCGGCGGATACCGCGGCGCACTCCAAGGATGGCCTCTCCGGCGGTCTCCGGGCGGCGCTGCCGATCCGGCCAAGGTTTATGGCAGTGCTGTACGCGGATGCCACAAGGCGGGACATGTACCGACTTCGGCGTCGGCGGCCAGACCCGACCGTGCTAACAACCGCTGGGGGTTCGTGCTCCGGCTCGGCGGGGCCGTCTTCTACGACCACGGCGTTGTTCCCCCGTGGTTCCTTCAGAAGTTTTGAGTCCCGGCGGGCATTCATCTACATGCTGGAGATCTTTGCCCAGGTGGTGGCGCTGGCGGCGGTCTCCACCCACCTGCCCGGCGCGGTCACCGCCTTTATTGACAACGCCGCGGGTCAGGCGGCGATGTCTATAAGGGGTACGGCACAGACCCGGCGATGAATGGGATGTTGGCTGCGTTTTGGGCCTTAGCGGCGAGGCAGGGGACGGTCGTCGATTTCCGGCGCGTTCCATCCAAAGCCAACGTGGCCGACGCGGTGTCCCGCGACGATTTCGACAGGGCCCGACGCGAAGGCTGGACGAGGGTCCACGCCCCTGCGTCGCCCTAATTATGCATATCTTGGCGAAGGTGGTCGACGACCTGCTCTATGCGGTGGATGGTGCGGCGGACGATCTTCTGGCGTGCTCCACTTCCTGGTTCTGTGAGCCGGCGCGTTGCGGGGCTGTGTGCGCCGGGCGTCGGGCGGTGCTGATATGCGCACCCGGCGCCGGCCGTAGGATCAGAACCTTCACGCCGCACGGCGCTTGCAGTGCTACCATCCACATGCCGAAGAACAGAGTCGTCCAATTTTGGCGTCTGAGCTAGGAGTGCGGCGGTTGTTGTGAAGCACATTCATGTGCGCATGAACAACCGCAAACGGCGTAGCTGCCTGAAACACTCTGGCTCGACACACGACGCCTTCAGCTTTTCTCCCACCCACGCCACCCTAAGGGATCGGCGGCGGTCGATCCTCGGCGGGCCGGTGCTGATATGCGCACCCGGCGCCGGCTGTAGGATCAGAACCTGCACGCCGAACGGCGCTTGCAGTGCTACCATCCACGCGACGAAGAAAGAGTCGTCCAGTTTTGGCGTCTGAGCTAGGAGTGCAGCGGTTGTTATCTATTCCACTTCGCAAATAGAGTTTTCGCCATGCAGGTCTGATCCGCAGCTTCTTGCCGGTCTTGTCCATGGTGCTGAACTTGGGATAGATCACAGATGCGGGTTTACATTTACATGAAAGCTGGTTTCACTAGATCTCGATAGAGGCTCTGCAATCCTGTGAAGCCGACCTGTGGCTGGTTTTCACTTTGCTTGGCTTCGTCCAGACGCGTGACAAACATGACAACAGACTGTCCGTGTCTCTGTGTATCCCTATCGATCTGCCGGCCTTCCTGCTTGCTCTCTCCTGTCTCTCTCCTTCTCCTGCTCCCGCTCATGCTCCCTAATCCTTCCCCTCCTCTCGCGCTCGCGCGCTCTCGCTCTCGCTCTGGCTCTCGCTCTGGCTCTCGCTCTGGCTCTCTCCGTCGCTCTGGCTCTCGCTCTCGCGCTGGCTCTGGTTCGCGCTCTTGCACTCGCCCTCTCGCTCTCTCGCCTCCCGCTCTCTCCATCTCCCGCTCCTTCTCGCTCTCTGTTGAATGTAACCAGCCCTAGAAAGCACCCAATGATCATGATGCATTATCGAATGCTACGATGCCGACTGGCATTGGCTCAAGACTTGACATGTCGAAGGATCCAACAGAGTGATTGATGATGACCGGTGTGCAACATTTGGCATTTGATGCTGTGCAACAGACGAGAGCCCCAGAATAGTCAACTGTCACTGTTGTCAAAACAACTGGCGTGCATGCTGGCACAAATCACTGATGGTGCAGCAAGAGCTATTGATGCGGACACAGAGGATGGTTTCGAGTTTTGGCGTCGATTGCACAAGCAGTCTTCACTGACTGAGAAAGCTCGAGTCGATCATTGGCTTTAGGCTCAGGAATGACCATCTCGAGAGTGACCTGAGTGAGTTCATGAACGTGTCAAGAATAGACAGTATAGACATGCGAAGACGACCGGCAGACCACTGGACAATGACCTCTTGATCACGTTGCTAATGCAGAAGACGCTTGGTCCGTAGCAGCAACATTTGTGGCTGATTGTTCGAAGTATCACTACATTCACTGAGGCTTTGGAGATTGTGAATAGTTATATCAAGAGCAGACGCCTGACCGTTTCGAGTGGTAGGACACACCACCAAGGCTAAGCCGACATGGACATGGAGCATTGACAGGAAAGAGAGGATGGAAAGGACAATTAATGAAAGGCAAAGGAATGTACTCACTCTCTCTCTCTCTCTTTTCCGCTGCACGGGAGGATGCATCACTGTTGCAAGCACATGCAGTGAAATCATGCAGACTGCATGACAAGACGGGATTAAGGCTTTCCAGCTCGGCATTCCGTGTACATGGCGCATCATCAGGCGCACATTCACTGGACATCCGAAAGCGCGATTGCTGAGATGTAGTGTTGTTGCAGGCCAGATGCCACTATCTTTTTCCCTCCCAAGAGGCCCCGCATGGGCCCGATGCCTCAGAGGCTATACCATGCGACGAAGAGCAGGTCCAACCCGTCACAAAGTGACCCTTTAAGGATTATGGTGGAATCCAGAGCTCCTTTCTTTGGTTCCGAGGTTGGAGCCGCAAGCTATCCGCTGGAAGGGATGCCAGTGCACGGGTGCTATGAGTACCGTTTGAGGTACTTTCTCCTACTTCATGCCCTTCTGGTCAAGGCCTGGCTACGCCAAGCATGTCTGCTGTGCTTCTCTAACGAGCTGTCAGGGCGATGATGGATTGCTGAAAGGTTTGCGTGAGGCCGGCCCCCGTCTTCCGTGTCGCTCGCATCACACTGCGTTGTGCCGCGCTCCCACCTCTGTCAGGGTGTTGAAAGTGGTGATTTGGCCCTGGCAGAGAGCCTCACGCTCATGGTCCGCGCCAAAGTGCCTTCTGCCATCAAGAGAGCTCCTCCTTGGACATCCTCAGGTGCAGCTGATGGTGAACATGACGTCGGCGAATGCGTTGTGCTCGCGAGGATCTCAGAGGGGTCAGCTGTGGAGCTGTCACACAGGCTGCGCACGAACACGCTCAGGCTCGTGTTTCGTCTTGCTTCAGAGAAGGAGGCCTTCCGCCAGGTTCGGCCAGATTATCCAGACTTGAAGGCTTGGATCGCTTTCTTGGAAGGTGTCTGAGGATATCTCAGGGACTGCAGATCGCTTCATTCAAGAGGCCTGTCGAGAGCAACATCCACAAGTCGTTGGTTCTGAGCATGCCGATGTTGTGTCACGAACCGTCTTCGGTTTGCAGCTTTGCCTGGCTGCCAGTGTCTTGGGTTGATTTGTCTTCTCCTTCTTTGTTGTTTTCAATGTCCTGCTAGCCGCTTGGCCAAGCTGGAGGCTTGGTGGTTTGATAAACCACCTGTACCTGCTCTGGGCGTTGCCAACATCATTCTGTTTGCTCTTTGAAGACTCGCTGAAGGTGAGCTGCGAAAACGAAACTGGAGGACACTCTTCGGGATAACTGTCGTAGAAGTCAAACAGGTCAGCCAGTGGCTCACCATGATTGCAGGTCATTCTAGACCTTCTGAAGTTGCGAAAGCCCTCTCCTTAAACTTGAGGAGGGCTTTCATGTGAGTCCAGCTTCGCTTATCTGAAGTATGGGGTAGGGCCGGTAGGGGGAAGATCCCCATCCGGGCCAGTCGCGAAGTGTGGAGGCGAGGCAGGGTCGCCTGGCAGACAGGGATTCCTTGGGTGGCAACCAGCGTTTGCCGGACTCCCGCGACGAAGCCCTATCCGAAGTTGGCACCGGTTGCGCACTTCGTTGTTCTGATCAGGTCTGTTCATGTCTCGCAGACCGCACATGTGCATATGCAATACGATGGTGCGGCCTGCTTTTTACCGGGTCTTGCAGTCATGGCTTGCCGACTTCCAGCGTCATGCTTTTCGTGGCACTGTTACATGCGGCTTCTGCCGGCATGCACTATGCGACCCGAGGATTACTACACTGTCGGTTGGAACTTCCATGTCATAGTGCCTCTCTGGATGAAATCTCGTCGAGAGCCCGTGGGAAGCACGCAGGAAGACGGCGAGACCGTTGTCGAACACATCTACTCCACGCAGTGTTGCTGCGGAGGATTCCTCTCAGAAGAGTACTGCTGCGAAGCTCTCCAGGCTTAGGTCCAACGTACCGTTGCCCAGATTCTGTGTTCAGACTTCAGCGGCTGATGTGAACTGCCGAACCTCAAGTTGAAGCATCTTGCACACGACGCACCAGACCGCGGAGCACCAAGCGCCCGGGCCTCGCCTCCGAACGCACAAGATCAGATCCGAATGCCGATGCATTGAATCAGTCCCGGCCACAAGCATCCCTGAAGCCCCTGCATGCACCACCACGGCTTCTTGGATTCTGAACGTCTGACTTTTTAGTTCAAAGGTTGCCTTACCATTTACAATCACTTACAGCTCTGTGCAGGTTCTCCGACTGGATGCTCCTCTCCAGCGGAACCCTCGCAGATACATCAAAGCTGGTACTCGACTGAGCTTGGATTTCTGGCTTCGGTCTAGGATTGTTGCAAGATTTTGCAAGGATGTTGTAGGGATTTGTAGTGGGGTGTGCAGGTGCAAAGTGGACTGGAGGGCGAATGCCCTTTGAGGGAGATCAGGCAGAGGGCTTTGTGCCTCATCTTCGTGTCAACTCGTAGCTATGCAGGTGCTCCTTTTCTTGGGAGCAGCAAACATGGATCCGGCTGTTTATAAGGATCCGCAACAATTCAGGCGGGTGGGGCAGTCAAGCAATGCGTCACCGCTCAAGCATGGATGCGTGTTGGTTTGCCCTGCATCTGAGCTTCCACAATCCACAAGCGGAGCAGGCTTGACCGACATGAGGAGCCGCCTCCTCTTACATTCGGCAGTGGGCCATGCCGGCAAGTGTTGGCTGAGCACCCTAGGTTACCTGCCTTAAAGATTTGTCCACATCTTGAAGTGTGCTCCTTCTTGGCTTTCGTGCTAAAGCCAACAGAGCCAGGATGCACTATTGTCTGGGGAGCAGCTCGATCCTCGGCCGGTGGGAGTGCTAGGCTCTCCATGTTGAGTTTTGTATAGTCTTGGCCCCTAGCTCTGAAACCCAGTGCCCACCTGGCACCGCGCGGCTATCCAGCATTATCCAGCCGTTTGGGATTTACAGGCTCCGAACAAAAGGTGCTTATCTTATCATTGCTTGCACAGCTTTCGGTCGGGTCTGGATCTGGCACCGCGGTTGTCTGCCGTGTGCTTCCATCGGTTTGAGATTTTACTTGGAGCCATCCTTTCGTTCCATTCTGGCAGTGTCCACACATTGGTGAAAGCCCCCTCGGAGAGGAGCTTCGTTACCTCAAAACATGATACGTCTGGGAGTGGGGGCGCTCGAAAAAAAGGGCTATCTCCACCCAAGGCTGCCTGGACGCCGTTTTTTTGGATTTCGATTCTTGCGTTGGTCTCTTTTGCCAGGGCTTCTTTACGAGAAACGGGTCTCTTCTGATGCTGCTGATGCTGTCAGCAACGGCCCGGTGCTGGTCGACATTGCAAGCATCGAAGGAAGTCGAGGTGGACCATCGGGAGAGCCTCAAGACAGCAAAACCCACAGTGTAGTCTGCAAACCACTACGTTTATGTGTCCACATGTAATTGCGTGTCTTTACATGTGTCCTAACCGGAATACTGAATACATAAACAATTCTGATGCATACTGACTGTCTGCCTGTCCCAGCTCTACGTCATCAGCCTTGTCGATTATAGAGCTTTCGTGCTAGCGCTCAAGTATCGAGAACATCCGGCGGGGTCTACACTGGGTCCAGCATTTCGGAGCAGGGCATGAAAGACAGAGTGACCACCCGGGTTTCGCATTTCGGAAGCGGACTGCAGTATGTAATTGTTTCTACGTTGCACCGACACTGGTTTCAGTGTTTGCAGTCCATGGGTTCACTTGGAAGCCCAGGCTTGGCATTTGGCATTTGCCGACCGTGATTATCTGCCATGGTTTCGGTTGGCATGTTTGGCTCGGTGGAGACCTGCTAGTACGGGCGACAATCACGGCTCGGGGCATGGACGTCGGCCGCTGCCAAAAATGCATTCAAGAAAAGAAGCAAACCCGTAATGAAAGCAAGTGCATCCGCGAGGTTTCGTCAGGTCTTCGGCGCGGACAGCCAATTGTAGTGTCCATGTAGGCGTCTGAGAACTTTCGACACGCGTTGTCCTGCACGGATGCGCAGCTTCTCATCGCTCTCTGTCAGAGTGTTCATTCTCGCCTGCAATGATTGCTTGGGACATCCTGAAATGTGCTCTATTTGGTTCGTCGTTGCGGGCAGGGGGAGGCGGTGCGGGGCAGGGGGCAGCCGGCAGGGGCAGCGTTTAGCTGTGCAGATAGCCAAAAGCTTGAACTGTTGGGGTTGAATTGGATTATTCGACTCTTGCAGTGCGTCAGGATTTCGTGTTTATTGCCAGCTGAAATCGGGCACCTGGAGAAACGGGATCTGAGCGGGAAGATGCAAAATCTCGACTCCCAAGCCTCGGCGGATTACTTCACGTTTATTCGGGGCTTCTACGTTCATGTGCCAGGGCACCTCGGGTCCGGCACAGCGCTTGCATTCGCCTGCTGAAGCCTAGGTGCTTCATTGTCCTGTTTTGCTTTGTGGATCTGTCGCTTCAGAGTGCTTGCCAGCATTGGGTGAAGAAACATGTGCAGCCAGCATTGGGTTGGGAAGCTCCATTCTTTCTCGTCGATGTGCACTTCGGAAGTTGGCTGCCGCATTTGTCAGAATCTGTTGAAGCTGTTTGCAAGGGCTTTTTGACCACTTGACGGAGGAACTACCTCTGCATCTTGAGGTTTGGTCAAGTTGGAGCTGCGCCTGGCGTTGCGCGGCTGTGATACTACGGGCATGGGCGCGTGCCTGTCATGCCCAAAAGCTGAGGCTTCAGCATCTTTGCCGTCACTGTCAATCCATTGCCTGCAACTTGGTTGGCTGCACGACGGAGACGGCGGTGAATGGTTTAGTGAGCGTTGTGGGTTGGGACGTATCAGGAGTTGAATGGTGACTTCGAGCGGCTCGCAGATGTAGATGCCGGCGCCTGTTGGTTCATTTGTTTCCTTGAGATTTTGTTGAGATGTGTGTGGCGCAAGGTTGGTAATTGGGGCTTTCGCCGCTTGAACGTTCGACTAGTAACAGCTTGAGCGTGGCGAACCGAAAAAATAATGCACCCAGCATGCTCTTGCCGACGTGTGTCACTTTGCTACCACTGTCCATGCCCGACCTTTCGCCACAGCGAAGCCACCCTCGCAACCTAGTCGTGCCAGAGCCATGCGATGTTTGTTGTGCTTGTGGGCTTCTCTTCGTTCCAGTATGCACAGACACACGGCGCCTCGATGACTGCCCTCTTCGATGAATTCTATGGTTCCGTCGAGTCACTGACGCCGCCGCCCCAGACCGACCAGCGGACGGCTCGTGAGTGTCTGCAACTGTGACTGCAGCTGCCTTGGAGAAGACTTGAAGGAATCACCACTTACTTCGAGACGCAGAAGCTTTGCATCTTCACGCACACCGATTCCGGCTTCCGAGACCTCTTGACGACATCATTCTCTGCATTCCGCAGAAGAATGGGAATCGATATTTCGCTTCGTTGATGCACTTGCTTCATTTTGGAGGCTCGTTGTGAAGAGAGGTTCATGGATGGCCGGCTTGGATGAGCCGTGGGAGTGCTAAGCGATCGTTAGACTGCAGCAGTTGCCTGTGAAGCGGCAGGTGCTCCACGATCAGTTGGAGACATGCTGAAGAGAATTTCAGAATACGACTACTCTGCTCTCAGCTCGACTGACCGAATTTGGATGCTGGCGCGAAATCCATACAGCCGTGTGTTGTCCCTTTACCTGCACAAGGTTGTCGGACTCTGCAAATTTGGCTCCCTAGGCTGCAAGGACCACGCTGAAAGGATGAAGTTCGCTGGTATCCTGGGCTACAATGCTTCTGCGCCTCCAGCATTTTCGGTGTGGGTGGATCTCCTTGCACGGGTGATGGTACGCTTACAGGTTCGGGCACGAAGAAAACTTCCTGCAGTCCCCAGCGGCAATGATGACAAACAGGGATTTTCAGAGGGTGTGATACTATTGGAACGGGCTCAGCGCCAATGCCGCAAGCCTGCGAGAGCTTGAAAGCCTGTAGCAGGCTCATGGAATCGACCCCTGCATGGTGGACAAGCACTTCTGCTCGCAAACTTCAGGCTGTGCCTGGCGGCAGGCCAAGGAAGTCATGGTTCTGAGATTAGAGGAGCAGTGGAGGTGGTGCCTAGCCTGCACATACACCAGGCAAAGCAGCATCATGTGTGGAGAAGGTCTCAGACATCTAACTTGCCAGGTTTGAGCCTTTGGTTGCGTTGTTGAGCTCTACTGGTCTGAGCCCGGACAGCCTCTCCGGGCATCTCTGGACGCCGTTCACGGGACTGTCTTGCTTCTATGCACCCACCGGGAACTGCAGCGACTCCATGACGCGAACTCCGAAACCTCCGCTTGTTGACCACATACATGGAACCGGTGCAAGCGATGCCGTTGGAGAGCATTACACGTGACTTGCTTGCAAGTCAGCTTGTCGCGATGCAGGCTTTCGATGTCATCAGTGGTGCCCATTCCTAGGCCGCAAGCGGCGTTCTTGATTCGGCGAATTTATGAGAGCGGTTTCAATCTGCTGGGTGCCTTTCCCAGATGTGATGTGTAGAAGGAGTCCAGTGCCGTGCTTCTGTGGTCCACTGGTTGTGTGGCCCTATGTCGGCCCCAGATGCAGGTTACGAGGAATCGCCGACTTCGCGCTAGCGATTCGCGGGTTCCTGTTCAAAAAGGTGGGCTGAAACGGAGGCAGCACAGCCGCAAAGTCCACAAAGTCGCAGAGTTTGCGCGCCATCTTTTCGGGAGGACTCCGAAGCCACGAAAGCTAGCTCTTCAGGAGCTTGCAGGGTTTGTCTTTTTATCAAGTGTCCGGTGGGTCGGCAAATTACGTTTGACTAATCCATGGGTGGCGGCAGGCACCAGAACAGCTCACGTATCGGTTGATTTTAGGCAGGCGGTCGCCCCATCCGCCAGAGACTCCCTGCCTAACACCATTGTAAGCAATGTGTTGAGAACATGAACAGATGAATGGCGCGCCTCAAGGATGCAAGCTTGCTTTGCCAGAAAGGCTAGGGCACAGTCGTGCGCGAGTGTGCGACAGTGTTTTGTATTGCCTTCGGTGAGATAGCACTCCTGGAAAGATATGACCATGGCAAGGTCTTTCAGGCTTTCGAGGTTTTTGAACTAGATACATCCTGCTTGGTCCACCTGATGCAAGTAGTGTTGGTCCGAGAAGTACACGGCGACTATCTCTGCCTCCTAGCTTTCGCTCACAGCTCTAATCTCAAGTCTCTTGACTCTGAAATTCTCTCTGCACTCGTTGTAATCTGAGCTTCTCGGCACCGCAGCCATATAAACCCTGCAGCATCCTGCAGCAGCGCCAGCCAACGAGATGCACGAGGATCTTTATCTGGGAGAGTTGGTGGGAAAGTCGCTGGAGGTCCGGAGCACACCAGAACGTGGACGTGGCCTGTATGCCACGAAGAGACCAGTCGGGCAGCCGGCTCTGATCTTCACTGAGTCGTCCCTGGGAAAGATCATCCAAGTTTCCCCCTGCTACAAGAGAGGCCTGGCATGTTCCTTGTGTGGACACGTCTTAGGCAGCCCAGTCTGGCAATTGCAGAAGCTAACCGGTCTGCAAAGACGTGCAGATAGTGACATTCTGAACGAGAGCTTGTCCGAAATTTTGGAGGGACAGCCGCTGTTTTCGAGAGTCCCACCATTGTTCTGCAGCATTGCCTGCTTGCGTGAGCATGAACGAATACTCGGACGTTTGAGGAGTCAGCGGAAGGCTGCGCGACTCTTTGCGCGCTACTCCAGGAAAGTGGGGTGTGTCTTTCACATGCTGGCGCTAAAGCTCTTGTGCTGGTGCATAGCCGAAGTGGAGAAATCCCCTGAACGTGCTGCTGCACCACTAAGAGCTCTCTGCTCTCGGCTTTATTGGGAGGCCGTCGATATGCCCTCAGAACCTGCGGAGCAGGCCGCATTCAAGGCCAAGTTGCAGAAAGAAACAGAGATCTCCCGTCAGCTGGCCTTGAGGGCATTAGGGCCTGGACTGGAGCTACTACCGATCGATTTGAAGCAGTTTCTCGAGCCTGTGGGCTACGCCAAGCTACTGGGTTCGCTTTGCTCCAACTGCACGAGTGTCAAGTACATATCTCCGGTGCTGCAATACATTCTTCAGATAGACGCCATGAAGGACGGTGCCTGCAAGACTGCTGCAATACGGGAGCTGGAGCCGTGGATTCGGTCCCTGGCCAAGAATCCGCTGGACATGGATGGGAGTGATGTTGGCGAGGCTGTGTGTGTGTGTGCATGTGGTGTGATGATACTGTGCGTACAGTGTGATGTACGCGTCTTCAGGTGTCTGCTAGCAATCGTGCCCGACCCAGGCAGCTGGCGAGGACGAGCAGAAACTCATTTCCTGGAGTGCAGCGAAACCTCTACACTTCTCAACTGCTCTGATCCCACCCTTCCGTGGCTACGCCATTTTTCCTCGCATGGTCTCTTGCTTAAACTTAAAGAAAGGCCTGGCTGTTCTCTCGGGGCCGAGCCGAGCCTTTGTCTCGCCGAGGCACTGATGAATCATTCTTGCAAGCCCAGCTGTGGAATCGAGTTTGACTTCGCCGGACGCATTTTCGTTCTGCAACAGCCTTACGTCGACATCAAGCCAGGCCAGGCTTCTTAAGGGCAAAGGAGTGAGCTTTGTATGCATCATCTGTATGAGAGGTGTTGAACTCACAATCTCGTATCTCGACTCGTCGCTGGAATCAGAGGAGAGACTGCAGGTTGCTGCATGATGCATTGCACGTTGTCTACCGCGAAGCAGGAGGACCACCGAGTCATGGGGAGAAAGCGAAGACGAGACCAGCTGCTACCCTATGGCTTCATGTGTGACTGTGACTTGCTTTCGAAATCCATGGATGCTTTGCCAGCTCGGCGTGGTTGTTGGAGGACCTTTTTTGGACACATGTCTACGTGCCGATGCCGAACTGAGGTGTGCTTTGCAGCGGCTGCACAAAACAGAAGAAACGCGTCAAAATTGGATCAAAGCATGATTGGATCGACCATAGACTCGGTGGGCGGGATTTGGCCAGCAGCATACACATTTTCCGGGACTGCAGCAGCACAGCGCGGTGCTCTGAGTGTAGTAGGCACGGACGCTGTGGACTGCTCGTTCCTGGGTCCTACCGGATGCATTTGGGCCCGAGTGGAACAGGCCATCAAAACACCCATGATCGTCTTGGAGTAGTCTTGCATGGCATAATTGGCTCGACTCGTCAACGATCAAGCTACAGAGACCAGGCCATTAAAACCCTCCACGACCCTCTACCTGGGCAACTTGATCGACCGTGACTGCGCTGTACGCTGTCTCATGACGGCGAGAATGATTATGAAGTCTTTGCATAGGTCCGCAAGCTGTCAAACACTAGTCCGATGCAATGTTCCTCTTTGGAGTCGGAGTTGCCAGGTGCAGAAGACCAAGTCAGCTAGAAGCCAGAGGAGTCGTGCCTTTGTCTTCGCTTTTCTTTCATCCTGCGAAGTCTTGCGGAGGATCAGCCTCGCAAACAACAGCACTTTCCCGAGAGCTTTGTCATCAGCTTTTCTGACACTGGTCATGCTTGCCACGACAAGGTGTCTCCACTCGCTGCCTTGTGCTGCCTGAGCTGTGCACTCCTGGTTTTCCTGCAGGCCAATTTGTAACCATCGAAACTGTGTCAAAGCTCACAATCTTGAGCACCAAAACTGTCCTGACAACACAAGCCGATTTCAGGCCACGCCCACTTGTGCTCCAGCCGAGTCAGGCAGCTGGTATGGCCGCGGCCATCCCGAACGGAGTGCGATGGATCCCTGGCTTCGAGAATCGGCGAGTTTACGCCGTGGGCCAAGTCTGCGAAACTCTGTCAGAGGTGCACCGAGATGCACCGGGCTGGTACCTGCTAGGCGGGCCCAGCTTTCCGGCGAAGCCGCGACCTCCAATTCTTCGGCAGCACTATGCACGCAATGCAAATCAACACTTCCTAGGTCCTGCAATAGTGGAGGAGGGCCGAGGACAAGTCTTCAAAGAGGGCAATGTGCCTTCGTGAGTTTAGTCATACCCGTTTCGTCTCAGGGCTAGTCGACCCGGAGATGCCTGGATCTCAGGGTTTCGACCCGACTCAGAGGGGTCATGGAGTCCAAACCAAGGCCTCCTCTGGAAGAGCGGGTTTATTTGGTCACCGGTGCGACCAAGGGACATGGACACGACCTCAGGTATGCCAACACCGAGTGCTGGTCCTCTGGTCCTGGTGCGACAGGCCTTGAAACTGCCATGCGGCTTCTGGACTCCGGCTGCTCGGCCACGAGCTCGGCAAGTCACCAGCCGTTGCTTTACATGATTCTTCTGGAAAGGTCATCCTTCACGGCAAGTCAGAAGGCATCCATATGTGAGAGACAGATTGCTGTGTAGTGCTTTCATGGGCTGCGTCGTTTCCACAGAGACGCTGGCTTCTGTTTGGCGGTGTGCCGTCCACTGCATACAGTGCTCGTCGGCCTTGGTCGCTGGCAGATTCGCATCAGGACACCTTTAGGAGCTAAACTGTAGCATCTCCTTGATGCGACTCTGATCCCGTCGCGCATCGATTCGCTCGTCACCGCAGTCGGGACATGCAACAACATGCAATACAGTTCACATCGGATCAACCTGCGTCGTAGACAGCAAGACTGACTGCAGATCTATTGAAGCGATACCTCTCTGATCTGAGTGCCAGCCTCAGAAGCATAGCATTGAAGCATCCGCCCTGTGAATTTATGGGGGCTGTCTTTGGTGCCAAGGTGATTCGTTTGAGACGCACAAGATTGATGGCTTCGAGTGTGACTTGCAGGAAATGGAAGATGTCGAGGTGGGTTTCCGTTGAGTCAAGATGCTCCCAGCAACTTCGCACGCACCTTGCAGTCACTTGCGAGTTTGATAGCAGCCGCAGCCTCAGTCCATGATGAATGTCACCCTCGTGGCATATGGGAAGACTTGGACACATGACAACGAGGAACGGCACCCTCGAATCCATGGAATTCTTCACAATGCTGCCACCATCGACGGCAATCACCTCAGAGTTGCGAGACCGTCGAGGCACTCGCCCCACTGTGGAGCCGTTAAGCCACAGGATCCTTCACGGGGAAGAGGAAGTACACTTTCAATGCTGAATCCTCAGATATGTGAAGCACTTCTCCAGCTCTGGATGCGTTTGCATCAGCTGCATCCAAGTTCCATGCCGAACAAACGATGGCAGTAAATGCGTGGGCAGCTCATCTGGATGGCGTACACTCGGTTGCATGAAGTGAAGGCATCCAGGTGGTACAGAGCGATGCCCCAGGCTTGCACCCTTCTATCTCACCTCTCTGCTGCTGCACGCACGGCCATGTGTTGAGAAGGAGAGAGCAGGACAATCAGATTCGCCTCGTGTTCGCAGTTCTCTGTCTTGCTCCGCCGGTGCGTTTCGATTTTTTTTGCCAGGCCCCAGCTTGAAGCTGCAGGCAATGCCAGGGTCATGTTCGCGACGCAGGGGGCCCCGGCCGCGTCTTGAGTCTGCTGCTCACTGCGCGGCGGCGGAGAAATCCGGTGGAGGCGTGTTTTGTTTAGGATCTTTTAGTTGTATTTTGGATTTTGTTTTTGAGTTTTCGGTTTTTTTACGCTTGGATTTTGTTGGCTCGGTTTGCCTTCTGCTCTTGTTTGCTTGTGGCTTGCTGCTTGTTTTTGTTTTGCTTTTCGGCTTCTCTGCTTTTCCGCTTTTCTGCTTCGCTCTTCTGCTTCGCTGCTTTGGCACTTTCTGCTTTGCTGCTTCGCGCGTCTGCTCCTCCGCTTTTCTGCTTCTCTTTTTCCCACCCTCATCCTTCCGGCTCGTCCTGCTCCGCTTTTCTTCTTCCCCTCCTCCTGCTCCTCCTCCTCCTCCTACTACTACTACTACTACTGCTGCTACTCCTACTGCTACTACTGCTACTACTACTACTACTAC